GTCAGCAAAATGAGAGACAAAAAAAAACTCATAGTAAAGTTGGAGGCTGAGAAGAAGGCAGACACTGATACTATAAGTCATCTCGAAGGTGAAGTTCAAATGCTAAACTCAAAACTTGATCAGATGACCAAGTCTATCAAGATGCTGACAAATGGAACTGACAAATTAGAAGAAATCCTTCAGGCTGGACGAAATGTGGGAAACAAGTCTGGTCTAGGATTTGTGGCAGCAAAGAAATCTACTGTAGACAAGAAGAAGATCAGGCCTGATAAACAAATGTCAAAGCAGATGTCACAACATAGCACTCAACATCGAGAACATAGAAATATGAAGAAAAAGTATCAAAGATGGAGATGTCATCATTGTGGAAGGTTTGGTCACATAAAGCCATTCTGCTTCAGATTATATGGATATCCTAATCAGACCTCAGTTGTCAAACCTAAGTCTAACAAGGCACCATATACTCAACAGTGGAAAAAAAAGTCTGCAGCCCTGATAGCTCACACCTCCCTTAGAGTCTCTGCAAAGGAAGACTGGTACTTTGATAGTGGATGCTCTAAACACATGACTGGAATCAAGAATCTTCTGAATAATGTTAAACCTCATACTACTAGTTATGTAACTTTTGGAGATGGTGCTAGAGGAGAAATCAAAGGAGTTGGAAACTTGGACTGCCCTAGAGTTCCAAACCTAAATGAAGTGTTGCTGGTAAAAGGCTTGACTGATAATCTCATAAGTATCAGTCAATTATGTGATATAGGATTCAATGTCAACTTCACCAAGTCTGAATGTCTTGTAAATAATTAAAAACAAGAAGTTGTAATGAGAGGAGTCAGATCAAAAGACAACTGTTACTTATGGGAGTCTGAGAACACTAATTATTCTTCTGTGTGCTCTATAGCCAAAGAAGAAAAGGAGGTGAGACTGTGGCACAAAAAACTTGGTCATTTACATCTAAGAGGGATGAAAAGGATCATATCCATGGAGGCAGTTAGAGGGATTCCAAGGCTTCAAATTGATGAAGGGAGAGTCTGTGGTGAATGTCGGGTTAGAAAGCAAACTAGAATGTCACATCCAAAGACAAGACATCTGACCACCTCTAAGGTGCTAGAACTTCTACATATGGATATGATGGGACCAATGCAGGTGGAAAGTCTTGGTGGAAAAAGATATGCATATGTTGTAGTGGATGATTTTTCCAGATTCACCTGGATTAACTTCATTAGGGAAAAGTCTGATGTATTTGATGTATTTAAGGAACTGTGCAAAAGAATTCAAATAGAAAAAGAAGGATGCATTGTCAGAATCAGAAGTGATCATGGCAAGGAATTTGAAAACAGTAAGTTTGATGAGTTATGTTCCTCGGAAGGAATTAATCATGAATTTTCTTCACCCATAACTCCTCAACAAAATGGAGTTGTGGAAAGGAAAAACAGGACTATACAGGAATCTTCCAGAGCAATGATACATGCCAAAAGACTTCCTATTCATTTTTGGGCTGAAGCTATGAATACAGCCTGTTATGTCCATAACAGGGTCACCTTGAGAAAGGGAACATCATCCACCATTTATGAACTATGGAAAGGAAGAAAGCCTACAATGAAGTACTTCCATGTCTTTGGAAGCAAATTCTATATTCTGACAGATCGTGAACAAAGGAGAAAGATGGATACTAAAAGTGATGAAGAAATATTCCTAGGATACTCTACCAACAGCAGAGCATATATGGTATTCAATTCCAGGACCAAAGTTATGATGGAATCTATAAATGTCATAGTTGATGATTACCATGAGGAAACAAATGTCCCATATGATGTTGAGACATTCTTTGAGACTTCAACTCAAGTGTCTAAAAAGGATGATGTACCTAAAACTACTTCATCAGAGTCTGAATCAAAGGAAGCTAACAAAGATCCTTCCATCAGAATTCAGAAAGATCATCCTAAGGAACTCATCATAGGAGATCCTAACAGTGGAGTCATTACAAGATCTAGAGAAATCATCAAAAACTCTTGCTTTGTATCTAAGATTGAACCAAGAAATGTTAAGGAGGCTTTGACTGATGAATACTGGATTGGAGCAATGCAAGATGAATTGAACCAATTCAAGCAACATGAAGTATGGGAGTTAGTTCCTAGACCAAAAGGAACAAACATCATTGGCACAAAATGGATCTACAAGAACAAATCAGATGCTGAAGGAGTTGTCACCAGGAATAAGGCAAGACTTATTGCTCAAGGATACACTCAAGTTGAAGGGGTTGATTTTGATGAGACTTTTGCTCCTGTAGCCAGACTGGAATCAATCAGACTCCTATTGGGAATTGCTTGTCTCCTTAAGTTCAAGCTATTTCATATGGATGTAAAGAGTGCCTTCCTAAATGGGTGCTTAAATGAGGAAGTATATGTGGAACAGCCTAAAGGATTTGTGGATCCAAACAGTCCTGATCATGTCTACAAATTCAGGAAAGCTTTATATGGCCTGAAACAAGCTCCTAGAGCCTGGTATGACAGGTTGACAAAATTCCTCTCTGACAAAGGATACTGGAAAGGAGGCTTGGATAAAACTCTTTTTGTCAAAAATGAAGGAGGAAAGATAATGGTAGCTCAAATCTATATTGATGACATAGTGTTTGGAGGAATGTCAGATGAAATGGTTAAACATTTTGCTGACCAGATGCAAGCTGAATTTGAAATGAGCCTCATGGGAGAATTGACCTACTTTCTTGGACTGCAAGTCACACAGATGGAAGACTCAATTTTTCTGTCTCAAAGCAAGTATGCAAAGAATATTGTCAAGAAGTTTGGAATGGAGAATGCCAGTCACAAAAGGACTCCTGCACCTACTCATTTAAAGTTGTCCAAAGACACAAGTGGGGCAAATATGGATCAAAGCTTGTACAGAAGCATGATAGGAAGTCTGCTACACTTAACAGCCAGCAGACCTGACATTGCTTTTGCAGTTGGAGTATGTGCAAGATACCAGGCTGAACCCAAAGTAAGCCATATCAACCAAGTAAAAAGAATTCTGAAGTATGTGCTTCTGAAAAGGATTGCCTTGGAGAGAGAGCTGAACAGCAGTGCTATTGAGTGTAAGGAAATCATGGATCTAATCAAGACTGCTGGCCTAATGAAAACTGTGGTCAAGTTTTCCAACTGCTATGAGATTCTTGTCAAAGAATTCATAGTAAATTTATCTGATGGTTGTGCTGATGGAAAGTCAGCTGATTTTAAGAGTGTGTATGTGAGAGGAAGGAAGGTAAATTTCTCTTCTTCTGTAATAAACAAATTCCTAGGAAGGCCTGATGATGCTTGTCCTGAGCTGGAAGTTACTGACAACCAAGTTTGTCAAACCATCACTGCCAAGCAAGTCAAGAACTGGCCCTTGAAAGGGAAGCTAAACGCAAGCAAGCTGAGCATGAAGTTTGCCATACTACACAAAATTGGTGCAGCTAACTGGGTTCCCACCAACCATAAATCCACCATTTCCACAAGTTTAGGAAGATTTATCTATGCTGTTGGAACCAGGACAAACTTTGATTATGGCAAGTACATCTTTGATCAAACATTGAAACATGCTGGAAGATGTGCTATTAAAGGCCATATTGCTTTTCCCTCTCTCCTGTGTGGTATAATCATTGCTCAGTATCCTGATATTCTGGTAGAAAAAGACTATCTATGCAAAAGAGCCCCTGCTCTTGGTTTGCACTATAAGCTGTTTCAGGGAACACATGTCCCTGACATTGTTATGACATCTGCTGAAACATCAACTGTTAAATCTCATTCCAAGAAAATTGATGTTATAGCTGTGCTAAAAGAAACCTGCAGAGAGCTTGATACAAGAAAAAGGACTCTTGAAGAGCTAATTGCTAGACTAGAACAGGAGGAGAATGAAGAACAAATAAGGGAAGAGGATGCTGATGAAGACCAGCATAATGCAGAAGATAGTGCTTCCTCGGAGGATGACAGTGCCTGAAGGTCAGTGTTGTTGAAAAGATTGTTGCTGGAACCTGTTGCTGCCAAATGACTTCTTATTATTTCTGTGTTTTTTTTTTAATTTCCTTTTGGATGACTGTATAAATTAAAAGTACAAGTATCTTTGGCCTCTTTATGGATAAAAGGAGGGAGAAGAAATTATAATAATTTTGGTAGAATTAGATATTGGTAGTTGTTAGTAAAAAATTATGTTGCTTTCTAATCTCTGATTGTTTAGGGGTTTTTAGCCAAAAAATTTCCAAAGGGGGAGTTTGTAAGTGTTTGTTTGTTGGCATTTTTTTGGTAAAACCAGATTTGTGAATGTCATGACTGATGTCATAACATTCTGGGATAAAGGTACATTCTGCAGATAAGAATGTCATACAGGAACTACTCAGTATGAGTGTTTAGCATGATCATTAAGCAATGATCACTACGCCAAAAACTGCTTTTGCCAGCGCCTCTACTAAAGCGCTTATTGAAAAAGCGCTGCCATAGCCTTCACAAAAAACAAAATTAAAAAAAAGGGAAACCTACGAAGGCGCTTTTTTAAAAGCGCTGGCATAGGTGGGGGATACGAAAGCGCTTATTGAAAAAGCGCTGCCATAGCCTTCACAAAAAACAAAATTAAAAAAAAGGGAAACCTACGAAGGAGCTTTTTTAAAAGCGCTGGCATAGGTGGGGGATACGAAAGCGCTTTTTTAAAAGCGCTGGCATAGGTGGGGGATATGAAGGCGCTTTTTAACAAGCGCTGGCATAGGTGGGGGATACGAAAGCGCTTTTATAAAAGCGCTGGCATAGGTGGGGGATATGAAGGCGCTTTTTAAAAAGCGCTGGCATAGGGGGGGATACGAAAGCGCTTGTTTAAAAGCGCTGGCATAGGTTAGTTAAATAATTTCTAAACCCCTAAATTTACAATCAGATTTCTAAACCCAGCTGATACAAAAAACGAAACCCAGTTGTTCATCTTCTTCTCCATTCGTCTGCTCCTATTCAAGCTCTCTTCATCCTTCGTCGTCCTCACTTTCATAACAACCTATTCAAGCTCTCTTCATCCTTCGTCGTCCTCTCTTCATCAAACTGTAATTTACATTCAGGTGTTGTTTCTTTCCCATTCAATTTCATCTCAACATTGATTCATCATCACCCACTCTAACTACTTTACTTTATTACATTAATTAGGGTTTCGTTCTCAAAGTTTCTTGTTATTACAAAACCCTTCAACAGTTAGCAAGAACGAAACCCAAGGGATTTTGAAGGTTGGCTGTTACTTGTTAGAGGAAAGATCTAAAAGTTCATTTCACCTTTTCCATTTCTTTGGTTTGAGGTAAGAATTCTTACTCATTTTTCTTAGTTTTAGATATTGCATATTAACTGTTTGTGAAATGTTCTACATGATTGTTCCTAATTAAGGGTATGTTAGAGGGTTAGGAAAATGAAGTTGGATTTACGGGTCCTAATTTTAGGTGTATACTAGCTTAAAATTCACAAGTACTTAAGTTGTTGGTGTTCATTTGTGTTTTTCCCTCTTTTAGATGATTTGTGTGTGATTAATCGTTAATAGACATTCATATATTGTCAGTCATCGATAGTAAAAATGTCAAAGGCAACACTTAGTACGGATCCGGTAAAAAAAGTCTGGGAAGAACGATGTTGGAATTTGGTATTTGTATTGTAATAGATTGTAGAACAGATAAAAGGAGTCGGATAGTAGTGTTACGTTATCGAAACTGAATAAAAGATGCACCTATCAACTGTGAGATTTGTGCAAAGAAGAGAAGCAATATTTTCAAACTTTATGGACTGTACTAAGAGGGTGTGAGTTATGCTTGGAGATACTTCAAGTGGGATTATAAATTTCTAATCCTATCTACACTGTAGACAAAAGAATTAATCACACAAAGGAAATTATAACATTACTACTAAAAAAGTTATAGCTAAGAAAATGTTTTAATAGGCTTGTATATTTTGCATATAAGTCTTACTGAGATTTTTATCTCATTAGTTTAAGTTTATATTTCAGCTTAAGTGCTTAACAGGACAGATAGATTACATATAGATTACATGTGGTTTTCACAGAATGATGCTCCATAAATTTTTCACAGAATGATGGCATGGTACAAGACTATTGAGTTAGGGAACCATCTGGGATTGGGCAGGGAAGGAATGTTAATGAGTATAATACTAGGTGAGGGATAAGATGAGGATAAGAGGGATAGAGATAAACCTAATGATGAGTTTCATATGATTGTCTAGGTTGTAAATTTGGAAATCTATAAGGAGAAATGATTAGATGCAGTGGAATTAACATAAGGGGATCATTGAGATGTGAAATCTTATCCTACACGCAATATTAAGGAAAATCATATAGACCATAATTAGAGTTTACAAAACATTTGTTTACTCAGTTACAGCAACCAAACTTTCATAACCCCTGATTATTACTCAAACAATAGTGAAATTATGTCACCTTCAGGCATCAAACTTGTTTCTTGAAGTTAAATGATTAAGCAGCAGAGCAGGGTATCAACAAACATGATATAAGAACAGATATAATTAGGGTTAAGCTTTGTTGAAGAAAGAATATGACTAAAGTAGGCGGTGCCAAAAGCTTCAACCCAAGTAGTTATAAAAAGATTTTATATTTATCATAAATCTCATTGACAAAATCTTCACTTAGAAAAAAAAATGCATACAACAAAAGTTTCAATTAAGTCTGAAGGAGTATGAACAAAGTGAACACACCCTTGAGATTATTGCTGTTCCAGAATAACCAAGCTTAGAAACACTACATGTCCAAAAGCTGTTCTCATAGCCATCTAGCAGTCGCTGTTTTATTTCCTCGATATCCTTCTCCTGTTAGCAAAACCAGAGCACTCATAAATTGGAGAGAAAATGGCCTCTAAAGAATTTTCTCTTCGCCCTAGAAGGCTTAACATCTGACAAAAACAGCCATAGACGATTAATTTAATCACTGCATGAATTACACTTGAACAAAAATTGACAAGCCATGAGACCAATAGAGAGAGACAAAGAATTATGCTAAATATTTCAGAATAGAAAGTTTAGAACGCAACCTGAAACCTCGTCTGATTTAACCAACAGCTTCTTTTTGGTTGTCGCTTTGACAATTTTTCTTTCAGGTTCTGATTGTTTAAACCTTTTCTTACCCTGGTTAAGTTCAACTGTCTCTGGAGTATCATTAACATCATCGACAGTCATGGTGTCTACAATAGACGGATCATTTCTTAACATTTCAACCTCAATGGAATAGCTATCAACATCATTTTCCTATATTATCAAACATATAGTGAATAATCAAAAAGAAATAGAGACAAAAATGAGAGTATGAATGAAACATGAATCAGACCTTAACAATAACATGGTTAGAAATGGGTTGTTGTGAACTTGAAAAGGGTGTTTTCAGTCTTTTAGACCCCATTGGTTTCACAGGTATAGAACTCTTGGAACTGAAACGCTTCTGAATACTACAAAACTACAACATTATTACTCAGTTACAGCAACCAAACATTTATTCCCGAGAAAAAAAACAAATGTATATAACCCCTGATTATTACTCAGTTACAGCAACCAAACATTTTATATTTTCAAAACATTATTACTCAATTACAGCAACCAAACTTTCATAACCCCTGATTATTACAAAACATCTTTCATACTTTAAGGCTTGAACTTCCTGTATGGTCTGCCGTTATCTTCATCTTGCATATGCTGTAATCATAAATTAAAAAAGTCATGTCTAGGTGCAAAGAAAATCAAGATGAATTGAAAACTATAGAGCGTCATTTAACAATTAACAATACATTGCTTTTAAAATTTGATTTGAACCTAACTAAGACTTGACAAAGCTAACTTGTAAGATAAGGACTGAATATAATTGTTTGAAATCCGACTTCACTATTGTTTGAATATAATTGTTATTACCTGTATCCAAGACTGAATCACTAGTATCCGACTTCACTAGTTAGTAATTAGTGATGAGTTGTTTAGCACATGCTTAAGGTGAGGCAAGAATAACTATGAATTTGATTACCTGATATGTTGAATTTCTTTACAGGTAATTAATTATTATTTTGCTATAGTTGTGTGACTAATTAGTTGCTATAGTCAAACCATGGATAAAAAATGGATGACTGCCAATCGATTGTCGAAAGAGTATGAGGATGGGGTATCAGAATTCGTTAAGTTTGCCGTTGCGCACGCCAGAGAACCCAATGGAATGATATGTCCTTGCTTGAGATGCTGTTATGGGAGACGGGTTGACGCGGTTCAGTTGGAATCGCATTTACTGATGCATGGAATTGATAGAAGTTATACATGTTGGACAATGCATGGTGAGAAAAGTACCGGGAATGCTGAGTCGAGTTGTAATAGGAAGTATGCTTCAAACGACGATTGCACAGACACATACGATTGTGATCGAGTCGAAGAGATTGCAGAAGCGCTTGAAGAAGATCTTGCGGATTGTCCCAAAATGTTTGAGAGGTTGGTAAGCGATGCAGAGAAACCGTTGTATGTTGGTTGTTCAAAATTCACAAGATTGTCTGCGGTGTTAAAGTTGTACAACTTAAAGGCGGACAATGGATGGTCGGATAAAAGTTTCACAGAGTTATTAGCCCTTATGAAAGATATGCTACCAGAGGATAATGTTCTTCCCAATCGAACGTATGAAGCCAAAAAGATGTTGTCTTCTATTGGAATGAGCTATGATAAGATACATGCATGTCCAAACGATTGCGTTTTGTTTCGAAACGAGTATGCAGCGTTGAATGAGTGTCCTAAATGTGGTGCCCCTCGATATAAGAAAAAGTTGTCTCCTGCTAAAGTCTTATGGTATTTTCCTATAATTCCGAGATTTAGACGCATGTATCGTAGTGAGACCGATTCAAGACACTTGACTTGGCATGCAGATGAAAGAATTATTGATGGAAAGTTGCGACATCCGGAAGACTCACCACAATGGAGTAAAGTTGATACTGAATATCCTGAATTTGGAAAAGAAGCAAGAAACCTTCGGTTGTCATTGTCTACTGATGGAATGAACCCGCATGGTATTCAAAGTATCTCGCATAGCACATGGCCTGTGATTCTTATGATTTATAACTTACCTCCGTGGCTATGTATGAAGCGTAAGTACATGATGTTATCTATGCTAATTTCTGGGCCTAAACAACCAGGGAATGACATAGACGTATACTTGGCACCCTTAATCGAAGATTTAAAGTTTTTGTGGGAGAGAGGTGTGGAGGTTTACGATGGGTATAGGAAAGAAAGTTTCAACTTGAGGGCGATGTTGTTTGGAACAATTAATGATTTTCCAGCATACGGAAATCTATCCGGGTACAGCAACAAGGGTCAAAAGGCGTGTCCTGTTTGTGAAGATGAAACCGATACGACACGATTGGCGCTTTGTCAGAAGAATGTCTTTCTCGGCCATCGTAGATTCTTAAATTCTAATCATCACTACCGTGGGTGGAGAAAAGCATTCAATGGAGAGGCCGAACATCGTACAGCCCCGCCTTTTTTGTCAGGTGATCAAATTTTTGAAAAGGTGAAAGATGTGAGCACTCAGTTTGGCAAGCCTTTTGCACATTCAATTGTCAAGGGTGGGTGGAAGAAGAAGTCAATTTTCTTTGAACTTCCATATTGGAAGTCGTTGTACGTAAGACATTTCCTGGATGTTATGCATATTGAAAAAAATGTATTTGACAGCGTTATAGGTACGCTATTCAATATACAAGGAAAGTCTAAGGATGGCGTTAACATAAGGAATGACATGGTAAACATGGGGATGAGAACTGAATTGGGGCCCGTGACGAAAGGAAGACGAACATATCTGCCACCTGCTGTTTACACTCTATCTAGAAAGGAGAAGAAAACATTGTGTAAGTTCCTCAGTGAAGTAAAAGTTCCAGAAGGCTACTCTTCAGATATTAGAAGACTTGTGTCCATGAAAGACCTCAAGTTAAAGAGTTTGAAGACGCATGATTGCCATGTTATAATGGAACATTTTTTACCAATAGGTATACGTTCTATTCTGCCAGAAAAAGTAAGAAGCGCAATAACTAAGCTGTGTTTCTTCTTCAGGTCTATTTGCAGTAAGGTGGTCGATCCCGCGATCTTACCAACATTGCAAAATGAGATAGTTGTTACTTTATGTGATCTTGAAATGTATTTTCCTCCCTCGTTTTTTGACATAATGGTTCATCTAGTCGTTCATCTTGTGAAAGAGACACAACTGTGCGGACCAGCTTATATGAGATGGATGTACCCTGCTGAACGTTATATGAAAATATTAAAAGGGTACGTGAAAAACAGAAGTCGACCAGAGGGTTGTATTGCCGAGCGATACGTTGCTGAAGAAGCGGTTGAGTTTTGTACTGAATATCTGTCAAATGTTCAATCAATTGGACTCCCCAAATCTCATATTGTCGAAAAAAAGAAGGAAAAAGGCTAATTGGAAATAAAGTTGTGACAGTATCAATGGTCGAACGGGATCAAGTGCACTTGTATGTTCTGCACAATGAGATTGAGGTTGAGCCGTTTGTTGAAATGCACAAAGTTGTTCTCCGAGATTTAAATCCAAATAGAAATGAGAACTGGATAGTACGAGAGCACAATCGAAGTTTCATACCGTGGTTTAGAGATCATATTTATTCAAAGTATCGTTCAGATCCTGCTTCAGTAACAGAAAGGTTGAGATGTTTAGCCTATGGTCCATCTGTAATTGTGCTTTCTTATAGCGCATACGCAATTAATGGATACACATTTTATACCAAAGAACAGGATGATAAAAGTACTATGCAAAATAGTGGTGTTACCTTGGTAGCTGAAGCTATGCACATATCAAGTGCGAATGACTTAAATCCGAAATTTGCAAATTTGTCATATTTTGGGGTTATCGAGCGCATTTTGGTGTTTGATTACGCGAAGTTTCAGATTCCTGTATTTGGTTGCAAGTGGGTTGAAAATAATAGTGGCGTACGAATGGATAAGTCAGGATTTTTGCAAGTGGATCTCAATAGGGTAGGGTACAAAGATGAGCCTTTCATTCTAGCCTCTCAAGCTAAACAAGTGTTCTATGTCAATGATCCGACAAGTACGAAATGGTCTATAGTGCTTTTATCTAACAAAATAGTTGATGAAAAAATTGAAGATCAAGGTGATATTGGTGTTGGCATTGAATCTTGTACAAGAAACGATCAAAATGAGAATGAATCTTGTATTAGAAATGATCATAATGAGGGTATTTGGATCAATCCAACCGTCCGCATTGTTAAGAGACGCGTAGTACACAATCCTACCAAGAAAAGAAAGAGACGTTAGTGATAAAGTTAGTGTTAATAGTGTACTAATGTGCTTTAGTTTGTTTGATACAGGTTCAATGGCTCCAGATAGAGATGCTCCACCTGAAAACCCACCTGAAAACTCACAAGAAAACTCACAAGAAAGAGTTGCTTCGGATACAAATGCTCCACCTGATACTGAAGCAAAAGAGGTTGCACGAGGCATCACTATTATGAAGGGAATCATTCGACATAGAGACCAAGGATTAGTATACCGATTGGAATGGAATTCTGATAAACAACCAATTGGTCCTAATTCTGCAAAGTTGACAAGTTATATTGGTACACTTGTCCGTATGCATATTCCGGTCTCCGTAGCTACCTGGAAATCGAAAACGAAAAATTTAGAATTGGAGGAGAAAAAACAAGCGATTTGGGAAGAGCTTCAGGTATATATCATATATGGTTAATTGTTGTTATTATCTTGACGATAAATTGTTTAAATTACTTATACTAACACACTATGCGTACGTTTTTTTGCAGAGGACTTTTGAGATACCAGATGAACGTAAAAGCTACATACTTAGTTTGGCCGGCAAAAGATATAGAGGGTGGAAAAGTTTTTTGACAAACACCTATCTTAAGGATAAAGATGGAAAATTTCTTGAAGAGGCACCGGGACGGCCAACAAAGTATGCGACCTTCATTGATGAAGCAGATTGGGCTGAGTTTGTAAAGCAAAGAGATGAAGCTTTTCAGAAAAAGAGTGCCACGAATAGTGAGAGAGCATCCAAACCCGCGTATCCATACAAAAAAGGGCGTTTGGGATATGCACGCTTAGAGGATAAAATTGTAAGTAAATAGAAATGCGTTTTAATTAATTGTCTACATGTGCATGTTTTAATTGACGATTTTATCGTTTGTGTAAATGCATAGTTAGAGGAGACTAAAAGTGAGGAAGCTTCACTTCCTGTACATGTGTTGTGGAAGGAAGCTCGTGTGGGCAAGAATCAAGTTGTCGATCCCGATGTTCAGAGAGTTTATACTGAATGTGTAAGTATAATACTGTGTCTTTAATTAAATCAAATGTTTTTTAATATATAAATGATTTTTTATCTCCACTAATAATTATTTAAATGTAAATGAATTACAGGAGACCTTGTCGCAATCGGCATCCACCGGTGAGGAGAGCGTACTTAGTAGAGTACTAGATGCTCCCGAGTATCCCGGTCGGGTGAGGGGTAAGGGTCATGGTGTGACTCCAACCTCTTTTTGTAAGAGTTCTAGGAGAAGATCAAATCTTACCAATGAAGAAGTGTTGCAAAAGTTGCAGGAATTGCAAGCACAGGTCTCTGAATTGCAAAGAGATAAAGATATGTATATGAGAGAAAATTGCAACACTTCATCGGTGAGAG